CCAAAAGTTTACAAGTTTCCTGAAAAACTTGGGATTCAAAGTTCCGTCCTTGATCACTGTGCATCTCCAAGGGTACTCCAAATCGGGTGAATACTTCGTTTACCAACTTCGTCGCTACAGTTACTGCCTCTTGATTCGGTATGGCAAAGACCTCCGGCCATTTTGTAAAATAATCCATAACCACTAAAACGTAGCGATTGCCCGAATCAGTGATTGGAAATGGTCCAGCGATGTCTAAGGCTATTCTCTCCCAAGGCATACCAACATTGTAGATTTTCATCGCCCCCCTGCTCCTTGTTTGTGGACCCTTGACAGCTGCGCAACTAGTGCATTTCCGACACCAATCTTCGACATCATATTTGCAATGCAACCAATAAAACCTCTCCTTGATCTTCACCAAAGTCCTCCTAATTCCCAAATGTCCTCCAGAAGATCCATCATGGAACGCTTTTAATACATCCTTTATTTTTGAACGAGGCACCACCAATTGCAAATGCTCGTCCTTGCCGTTTGTTGATTCCCATTTCCTGCACAGAAGTCCGTTATGCAGCGTAAGGCTTTTCCACTCTGCCCATAAACCTTTCGTTACCGCGCTATATTGGGCGACGTCACTCCAACTTGGCTTGTTACCACTTCGTAGCCACTCCAGTATTGGTTTAATATCTGCATCTCTTTCCTGTTCTAATTTCATCGCATCATTTCCCCATGCCTCGTCAACAGTATCAGTCCTTATCACCTTAAGAAAAGCAGTTTCCTTCTTAGCACAATGTTTGCAATCTTCCACGCATGGGCGTCTCGATAATGCATCTGCGTTGCCATGAATTCTTCCTCCGCGATGTTCGATTTCAAAGTCAAATTCCTGAAGTTGTTCCAACCATCTGGCTACTTGGCCTTCGGGATCCTTAAACTGAAGCAGCCATTTCAAAGCAGCGTGATCTGTTCTGATCAAAAATTTCCGTCCCAGTAAATACTTCTTGAAATGGTGCAGGGTTTTGACTACGGCCAGTAATTCCCTCCTGGTCACGCAATAAAATTTAAATTTGCTCCACGCAGCTTGTCGAGTACCTTTTCCAATTTCCTTAGATGATCGTCAAAATCCCGTCCAACAATGATGATGTCATCGAGGTAAACTAGGCAGGTTTCGCCCAGCAGACCCGCCAGCACCTGTTCCATCAAACGCTCAAAGGTTGCCGGTGCATTGCATAATCCAAATGGCATCACCTTAAATTGCCAGAGTCCCTTCCCAGTTGAGAATGCGGTCTTTTCCTTGTCCTTGGGATCCAAATCCACCTGCCAATAGCCGCTTTTCAGATCGAGCGTTGAAAACCATTTCATGCCACTCAGTGTGTCAAGTGTGTCATCGATTCTTGGTAACGGGTAGCTATCCTTCTTGGTTACATCATTCAATCGTCGATAGTCTACGCAAAACCTCGTTGAACCATCTTTCTTCTTGACAAGCACGACAGGTGAACACCAAGGGCTAGAAGAGGGCTCTATCACGTCATTTTTCCTCATATCGTCAATCATTTGTTCAATCTCTTTCTCACGAGCGAATGGTATGCGTCTGGGCCTTTGACGAATTGGCATTGTATCACCTGTGTTTATTTTATGCTTCACCACACCAGTTCGGCCAATATCACCATCGCTTCTTGAAAACACATCAGAGAATCGAAGAAGTAAATTTCTAGCTTTCATAGTCTCCACTTTTGTCAGACTTTTGTTTTCGTCTAAGATTTTCGTTACAAAGTCTATTCCCGTACTGTCCTTTTTCACAAGATTCTCTGAGCATTTTCTTATCCAGGCCACTTCTTCCAATACGCCCACAGGCTCTCCTTCTTCAATCGTAATTTTTGAATCACTGAAGTTGAATACCGGAATGCGGTTGACATCAGATGACCCCACGACAGTTCTTGCCGGTAGCCATGAGTTTACGTGTTCCGATTTATCAATCACAGCGCACCTTCGAGGTAAACTTCCTTCCCTCCTAGGTAATGCGATTGGTACGAGAGTCTGTGATTTTGGTGCAAGAACAGTTCTTCTTAAACAGCAAACTTTTCCTAGGGTTCCACCCTTCATCGGAATTTCCTCAGTTCCACATAGTAAAACTCCAGATTTTAAGTCGATGTTACACTGGTGCCCTTGCAGGAAGTCAAGTCCCAGGATGCAGTCATCCAGAATTTTGGCCACAATAACCTCATGCCGATAAACACGTTCCCCAATTTTGATTGTTACATGCAGTTTTCCACTTATCGGTATGCACTGGCCGGTAGCTGATTTCATTTGTAGGCCAACAATTGGTTTAAGTTGTTTCCTGATGTTTTGCTCGAGCAGCCGAACATTTATTACCGTCCTTGAAGCTCCAGTATCTAATGTTAGCTGACTGTTTTTCCCATTTACTTGACCGTCTATCACCAGAGTATTTCCATCTTTGGTTTGCTTGATGTAGATTGTTGGGGTTGTTCCACTACCAGCCAGCGCCCAACCCGCAGCCCTGGCTGGATTTAAGTTTCCCTGCTGGTCAGAAGTTGAGACCGCCGCGTCCTGGCGGTTCACCTTCTTCGGGCAGTTGCTCCGCATGTGCCCACGCTCTCCGCATCCATAGCACATGAAGTTCCGACGGCGTGGAGGTACCTGCTCCGTTGTCGTCATTTCCCGCAGACGTAAGGTTCGGGAGTTACCACGCACGGCTTCCACTTCCAATGCATGGGCCAGAGCTTCTTTCATGTTCTTGTGATGGCCCAGATGAACAGCGGCTCGTACTTCGGGGTCCCGAATACCGTCAATGAACGCTTGGAGAAGCGTGCCTTCAATCATTGACGGAGTCGACCGGAAAGCTCGACGCACAAGTTTCTCGATTTCCACGGACCATTGCTGTAGGCCCTCATTAGCACGCTGAGTACGCTCTTTTAATTGCGCTCTGTACACGTGCTCGAGGTGGCTGTCTCCAAAACGTGCCTCAAGTGCGTCGAGGAGGGCACTAAAGCTGAGATCCCCACTTGCGCCGATAGCTTCCAGCACTAAGAGCGCTTGATCACGGAGGGCCAGGGTAAGGGCTGACTGTGCTTCCTTCTGAGTCCAACCATAAGCCTCCATAAGTGTCTCAAACTGTAGCTTGAACGCGGTCCAGGATGTTGTTCCGTCGTAATGGGGAATCTTAAGCCCTTTCGTTGCACTTGAAGCCGCATTTGGGGCTTCAAAAACGGCTGCAAGACGGCTTCGGCTCTTCAAAGGGCTTGAGCTTGTCACTTCCTGCTTGATTTTGGAGATCTCTTCTTCCACTCTCTCCTCTATCGCCTTGACGCGATGTTCCAACTTGCCTAACCCTTCCTCCACTTCTTGTACCCGTTCGACAGCCTTTTGCAGTCCCTTCGTGAAATCCTTATGCATGTCTTCCAAGCGACGCGCTTGCTCCTCTTGGCGGCGAGCTTGATCCTCTTTCAGCTCCCGTAGCTGCTCCGCCTGACGGCGTGCATGCTCCTCTTGGCGACGAGCTTGCTCTTCTTTCAGCTCCCGTAGCTGTTCTTCTTGGCGACGCGCTTGCTCTACCATTATTTGCTGCAGCTGTAGCAGTAGATCCACTTGCACAGGTTTGGCTTCTGCATCGCTGGTTTGAGCTGCAGCACCCTCTTCCCTCACACGCTGCGCTTCTGACATTGCACGGGTACTCACTCCTCTTACGTCCTGCGGCACTAGCGGCATTTTTCTCCAATCCCACTTCTGACACCAAAATGTTACGTGCCTGACGTCACGTTCCTGACTATGCGGGCTTGAGTTCGGGATTGGATGAAATGAAACACTAATACCGGTTTTCAGACTTTCTATTGCACTTAAGTTACAGCGTCCTCGGAGTTAAGTTATCGACGTTCCTCTCCAACAGAGTCCGGCCGACTGACACAACTTTGCCGTTCACGCTGACTTAACCCACTTAGCTGACTGCACTTCACTATTTCACTCACTTCACTATTTCACTCACTTTTCTTCTTTTTCACTTCTTCCTTTTCTTCCGAATCGCTTTAGACTTAGAACTCAACTGCCAGCGGTGAGCCGCAGTTCCGCTTATATACCCCCGGTTCAGGTTCTGGAACATTCAATTTCGTTATTCTTTTTGATTGTCATGACTCCAGAACCTTCCAATAATTTCGTTACTCATTTTTATTTATTCTCCTTCTCGCTCTTTAATTTTTTATTTCTTTCACACAAATAGTTCCAGAAAGTTCCACAAAACTTCTATCAACTAAAAAACTACATGTTTACGGCGGGACTCGAACTCGGGGTCTCTGTGGTGTAATCCACACGCCTTACCGATTACACCAACTCGTGTTGACAATTCACGACGAAATTTACAATCTCTAGGCAACGTTTGACAACCATCCATTGACGTCATGATGTCAAAGAGTTTGAACCACTTTTCCGTCACAATAAGAATCAATGGGCGTTACAGGCTTGTCAATGGAACTGTTTGCGGACTATCTGAATGGACGAATCTAGGTTGTCAAAGTAGATGATTGGATAAGTTATGAACTGACCGCAGATTATGGTGTGCCTCAGGGTAGCAGCTCTTGGCCCCATACTGTTTCTAGTTTATATAAATAATTTATGCAACATAAGTGTCAATACCGGCAAAATACATCATCCTTAGTTTCCATTGATGGGACCACAATGTCCCTTTGGACCGTTGTGAGGCGCACAAGGAACCGAAGCCAACTCGCAAAGGCCCTTTGACCAACTTTAATATTTATGAAATTAAACATAAGTTGGCAACTAATATTACTCTTTTCACCGCTCAATAGGTGATTCATGAGTCAATGCAAGCATAATTTCACGCCCGTTATCTGGTATAACTGGTCGTGGCTACCAACTCGCGTAGAAGGACAGCTCTCCCATGTGTGAGATATAAAAAAAACATGTAAAATAACCATAATTATATTTGATACATCATAAAGTCATTTGATACAATAATAAAATATTCACTAGTTTAGATAAAGAAAAATACGTTTTTGTCAAGTCACAGTTTACGGCGGGCTCGTGGACGGTGGTAGGAAGGTCGTGGTACATAAATACGTTCGTTACTGTCTCCAGTCTGACTGAGGGACTCTTCTAGAGGTTCCGCGCGAGGAGTGAACAGTTTGCGACGACTCCGAGTGACGCTGAGGAGAAATATTTTATTTAAAATCTCCAACATTTCCAAATCTGAGGCAAAATAAGGCTAAACTTAGTACAAACCACATCATCAGCTAATATTCTTATTTCCTTTCTGTTATGCAAGTAGCTTTAAATCATCTCTATATAGTTTTTACGCTAGCTGGTGACGTGGATTGTCCTTAAGAGCCTTCTCACACGAGAAGCTTAATTGTTGTATGAGTATAAATTTGCGTCAAGTTTGTCAAGTGAGTCAAGTTTCAGCTTGCGGTCCACCATTTTTAGTTCCTTTTTTAGTAACAGGGTTCCCCTCACCAAAACAAAAATAGACAGCAACAAAACCAGTAAACCACGGAAAATTTTAAAAATCTTACTTGAATATAATTTAGAATTTAAACTATCATGTGTCAGAATCATGTCGCTGCTTAATGCGAAGAGACCGCTTCGAGGTTCTAAGCATCCTATAGAAAAAAATATAGAGAGAGTAAAGAAGACAGTACTTTAGAAGTAGATAGAAGAGGAAACATGATAGAAGACTTCCCCAAATGATACATTTGTATAAAAAGACTAACCTTTTAGACGGACAACTCTGTATTCCTAGTAGGGGCGGTAGATTTTCTTCCGACCCCTTTTCTGGTGACGGTATATCTTTAACATCTTTTTTGGGAGCAGGCACGTCCAGAGTAACGTCTGAGAATTCGCTCTGTAAGTTCACTATATCTTTCAACTTATCATCAGATTCGTCATCCTGATTCTTCCGTCTCCGTAATCTGAGATTTCTTTTACGTTTATCGCATTTAGCTTGACTCTCTGCCAATATCTCTTCTTCTTTGCCCTTCTCAACCTTAGTGTCATCAGTTTTGGAATGTTTCTTTCGTAAATTGTACTTAGCTTCGTCTTTCTCGTGTCTATCATTATTTTCGTTATTTACTTCTGATACTAGTAACTCGAATTCTGTAGCTCTGGGAGCTGTTATATCTTTGTAAATGTTTTCAAATTCTTCAATGGTATTATCTGGTTTACCTTCTTCAATTGTATTATCTCCTTTAGATGATTTATCGTTGATTGTTTGATTAGGTTCATCGGAGGATATTGCCGGCTCTAACTTAGCCTCCCTCGTAATATCTACTTTACATTTGCTAATTTCAGTAGATTCTTCAACTGATGACATTGGTTCTAACTTAATTTCTTTCTTTATATTAATTTGTACTTCTTTGTCATCAGGTTCAATTACTTCTCTGATAGATAATCTAGGCTCCACGTCAGTTTTCGTTCCCTTCTTTGCAGATAACTGATTTAGAACAAGTTTCTCGATAGATTTCCTAGCAATTTCAACATTATCATCTGGCTGGCATTCTTTTGGCTTTTCTGTAATCGGTGAATCAAATCCGTCGAATATGTCAACGGAGTTGTGTTTCTTCGTCAACCTAGTTTTATGTACAGACGAAATCACGTCAGACTTCGTGAAACTCTCGCCGAGTAATTTCTTGATAGTGCTAGGTTCGAAATCAGCTGCAGCTGCATCTTTGACGATCGATGGCGACCTGTCGTCATCACATTTGATCAAATTGTTTATTTTCTTATTAGAAACATTAACGTTGGCACTAATATTGTCGAAGTAAGTGCGTTTCTCTTTTACAATAGCGGGTTCTTCTGGCTTTTTATCTTTATTTGCATTAACATTACCCTTTTCTGATACGTTGTCGAAATATGTTCGTTTTTCTTTAAGGATTTTAATATCACCAAATATGTAATAGTTTTGTTTGGACTCATCATTATCATCGCACTCCTTTGAAGCTTTCTCTAGCTGTTCAAATTGTCTAAGTGAAGCATCACTTCCCTGATGGGATTTGAAAGATCGGATGATTTTTCCAACTAAGGTGTCTGAGACTTTTTCTGTAGCTTTCATATTAATGTTAGTTTTTGCTCTTGCAAGACTACTAACTGGTTCTGTTTTTTCAGGAGCTTTTATATCAATTTGAGACTTTCCTCTTAGTATTTTACTAACTGGAACTTCTGGTACTACTTCTTCTGGTTTTACATCAATTTTTTCCTTAGTATTTATATCGAAAGCAGTGCTTTCTATTACGTTTTCTGAAACTCTTATATCTGCATTTGATTGTTGTTTAACAATAGGTAATTTAAACACTTCAGTGCTAAGTTCAGAAGGGGCATTTTTATTACTTTCAGTTAGATCATTTTGTTTAGTTTCACTTATCTTTGACACATCTGTAACTGGATCTGCCACGAAATAAGTTCCTCTAAACGAATTGAGTTTATTTTCATTTGCTTTCTCAGTAATTTTACTATCATCAACAAAGTAAGTCCCTCTTAAATCTGCTTTAATACTTTCATTTTTAAATTGTATTTCATCATCTTCCATTTTTGTATCAGTCAGACTTTCGTTTTCCTTGTCAAAAGTAGTTTCACTACCATATGTCATATTTGTATCATTTTTTAGACTATCATTAACATATTCACTCTTATTGCTTGTTATAACTTCTTCAACATTAACATTTTTATCATTATCATTATGATATGTTATCGATTCAGTTGCTTTACTTTTATCTAGATTATCACTAGTTGTACCTTTTTTAGAGTCTTCATCTTCCCCTGTAGCATAGGAAGAGGCTTTGGAATCATCATTTTGTAATGTTTCGCGTGATTCTTCGAGATCACTATCACATTCCTCATCAATATTATCTATAGTATGAATGCTTCCATTGTCCCGTTTCTCATTTTGTAAAACAATAGATATGGATCTGTTTAGTTCTTTCTTGAATACAGGTTCAAGGCTTTCGTTAAATGGATCGGTAGTTTCTTCATCCGATTCGTCTTGTTCACTCTCTGAGAGTGACATCACGTCTTCTTGTGGTGGAGTTGCATCCTTGAATGCTTTTTCTGTAAAAAATATTATTATTTAATAATTTGAGGGCACAAAACCAGATGCAGGGCTCTGAATACTTAGATCGGTGTAGATGCTAAAAGATTTATCGAATTGGTTGATGAAATTACTTTAAAAATGGAAAAATGTTGGTTACAATTGATTATACGATCATACCATCTCTCTCTTCAATACAAGTGCGAAGATGTTCTACTTCTTTCTCAGCCCGTGCCCTCGCGAGTCGTTCAGCTGTTAGCTTCTCCTGTTACCAACAAAGTAGTATTTGAATTATATTGTATGACTTTTTTTCACCAATGATTAAAATAACAGTTTCTAAACTTACCTCCAGCACAGCTATTTCTGTCATAAGTTGCGAGACCTGTGAAACAAAGAAAAAGACGAAAGAGTTTAGTTTTATCAATACTCCTATCATTCACTATAATAATATTAGGCCCCACTTGCCTTGAAATTGCCGTATATAATAAATAAATAAATATTACTTACATAATGTTTTATTGTAAGAATTTTGAATCAGTAATATACTCACTTTATTTTGTAAGAACCGCGACGGAGTTCCAGCGTCGTTTTTGGGCGGTGCCGGCACCTTAGCTAGTCTGCTTTCGTATTCTTCTATCATGTCCTCCATCTGCAATTTTAAATCAATCATTATATTTGTTTGTTAAATACCTAAACCTGTTTTTGCTGTTTTATTGTCAAGATAATATCCTAACTTTTTAGCGTACGGATTACTTGTTGGTAAGCAATAAGCGCCGCTAATGGACACCCCCGCAACGACGGGAGAGTTCCGAATGCGTGGCCGACCTTTTAGGGATTTAGGAATCTTGGTAGGGGAAGGATTGGGCCTCCAGTACCTTCACTCACACGACGAAACACAACGCTGTGTCACGCCCGTTTTCTGTGAGGCCGTGGTATTAATCCAGTCAAGCCGTATAAATATAATAATATCGTTTGACGAATTATGAACAAATGCTTTACTAGTGGACCACTGTCTCAGCTTCATTACCTCACACCGTAAAGCTTCAAGCTGTGCTTCATAGTACTGCTTGGTCATATCCTTGGCTTCCTCCACCAGCTCCCTCATGGTGTTAGCTGACTCCTGCTGTTTCTCCTCCATTGCTGCCAATAGCTCTTTGTTGCGGGCTTGAGCTCTGGAAATACATTACATATGAACGATATATGAGATGGCCATTGCAATGACTTCTAGATTTTTAGTGGAAAATGATATTTATTTTAAAAAGATTCTAGGAACTTTTTTGCATATTGAACTGGAACAGTTTTTGTTGTTTATTTTACATTAAACAGGCGCGAAAAGAAATTGGTACTCAAAGAAACAGGTAATGAAGACAATATGAAACCATTTTAAATAATTACTTAGGACCAGGACTAATACTCACTGCACAAGTTCAAAATGTAGTCTCTCATTGTCTGCTCGTAATTTCATGACTTCAGCACTGGATCCTATTGTGGTGTCCACTGTACTGCTTTCCAGGGTTGTTGTCAACATTGTGTTGTTTACCTCTGGGGAATTATTCATCCCGTTACAAAGCTATTTCTTCAACATATCTTGACGAGATCTGCTAGTGTTTTTGGATATTGATTTCAATAAATATATTCATTTAGTATTGCTATAAGTTAGTAGGAAAGTTTCCTATGTTATTCATTGATAAGAATGATAAAGGAGTCAGACAGATTTTTAAAATCGGTTCAGTAGTTCAGTACTACCAACAGGCTAATTGTTAAAAGCAAGTATCCACATATCACAAGAATATAGAATGAAGTTTATTAGTAGCACTAAGTTACAGTAAAACAAGACAATTTATCATCAAACTCACGTATATCTTGAGCTACAGCTGCCAAACTGAGGACATGTTTTGTTTCGTGCGCGTATTCAGGCGAGGGATTGAGAGTGACCACCATACTGACTGCTTCTCCTCGCGCACCAGATAGCCCCGTGCCGAGTAGACGGGTCAGCTTGGATTCTCTGTGAGCAAAAGAAAAATTGTAGTTAGAATAAGTATTTAGGAAACAGTGAATAATGTTCCCTAAGACCAAGTAAGGTTCTTAGGGGGCAGGCTACTGCCAAACAGTTGTTGTTTTCTATCCATTTTTATTACGATATGTCATCTGCTCACCACATAGAATTATTTTTTGTGTAATGGTGTGGTTTCCTGTTGGACATAAATATAATATTATTTTTTTAAGTTAGGTGTGGAAAAAGTTTCTGCCTCTTACTGACTAAAAAGATCCTGTTTCTTCTCCTACACTAGTCCAAGGCCGCGGCGATCCAATGGCGCTAAAAATGTTAGGTCAGAAATGATTGAGTGTAGCATTGGTAAGAGAGACCTGTAGGGCACCATGGCGTCGTGTCGGGTCCTCTGCTTGCGGCGCAGCATGTGCAGACAGCGCTCGAGGACGTGCAGCGACGAGTTGATGGCGCGCGACTCCAACATGCGCGCGCCCGTGTTGCGCGTCGCGCGCGCTCGCTCGCACCCCGCCAGGTCGCACAGACGCACGTACGATGTACGCACTCCTTCCGCTGTAGGGACAGTAAACACTCGAATAGAGATTGACCGATATAGAGCTTAGAAGATGCTCTAATCTAATACACAGAATTTGTTGAAGTATTTAAAGACATTACTAGACTATTTATTTTCCAATTTCGATTCAAATGGGAAACCAAGTGGCACTAGAAGCTAGTTGTGTACATACATGTCTCAGTGAGCATTGTGATGGTAAAAATACAGTGTGAGCGCGAGGAGTGCGCGTGTACTCCGGTGGCGGCCACCACCAGGTTGTGCTTGCCTGCTACCATCACGTCGTATGCTTCCTCTCCAGACCTGACGAATGCTTGGGTGGCACCCTACAAAATGCAAAAATACAAATAGATAAGAGAAATAATTGTAACATGAGGATTTGTCTATGTTTACAACTGTGAAGTATGTATTGAATTGATAAAGGCATTGGAAACTCCTGAAACCTTCTTGTAAAGTTTAAATACCTTGACATAAACATTTCCAGTAGTGTCCTCTCTTATCCTTAATTTAGTCCTCTTCTCTGGAGGTGCCAATAAGTCATATACTGCCTCATTATAGATTTCCACAAATGATACCTGGGAACAACATTTTACTGAGTTCATTAAAAATATTATTCATGATTTATTTCGTTACTATATTATGCATGCAGTGTCATACAATGCGCAAACACAAACATGCACATTAAGGGCAATGTAGGATGGACCACAAGACATACATCTCGATGCTACTGAGCTCCAAAAATGAGACTGATCAGTCAAGTTTAAAGGCAGTAAAATATATCAAGAAGCTACTCAAAAACAAATAATGATAGTTTTCGCAAGCAAACCATACAATAACTTTTGGCAGTGTCAGGCACAGATTTAAAATGGAAGAAAACTATGTAGGTGGACATGATAGAGATACAACAATATGGCTTACCCAAACATAGTGTCTGATTCTATTGGAGAGGTCTATAGAACTGGCAGTGAGGTCACTGTGCAGCTGCACACTCATACGCCGATACTTGTCGCGAAGCGGCGCTGATACGTGGCGGAGTCGCTTCACCCACTGAAAATCGAATTAAGAATCAGTTCTGGCAGTGTAGCTAGTTTTGAATTTAAGTAGTGATAATATTCTTAATATTGTCATCTTGTAAATTATGAATACTAGTTCTTTGCTGCTTTTTTCCATCCAAATCTTCTTCACTGTAGTTTTGGTGTTGCAAAGTCAAAGTCATTTATTTCAAATAGACCACTATAGACACCTTTGATTGTCAAAACACTCATGCAAACTGTTGTTTAAGTACAACTGTATCATATTTTAGCAAAAAATTTAAAATAAAACTTAATACATAGTTTTATTTTACATTTTTTGGAAACTAGATCAATTTCACATGTTATTTTAGAATGTACCTGTAATTCATAATCCTGTTCATGATGATCTAACTTCTCAGCGCCACTCTCAGCTGGTCTGAAGGCAGGTTGCTGTGCAGCATCTACCAGTCGGAACACATACTCCAGGGAGCGAGGCACCAGGCCAGGGGCTCCTACAGTGCCCATCAATGTGTATGTTTTCCCAGACCCCGATGCGCCATAAGTAAGGAGAGTGAAATTCTGTCCTTCTGGTAATTTTCGTAGATTTTCTTTCACAACAGCTTCAAATATTTCCTAGAAATTTAAATTATAGTTTCATTTCCATTCTTCATTTAGACAGCATGTTTAAAGTTTTAAGAGTAAATTGATTTAAAAAGGATTGTTATTGTTGATCTTATTGGAAACGGATAAGAATTGACAGAATAAACAGTTTATAAAGTCAGTCGACCAAACTAAGAGGAATCACAGACCAAGAACGGAAGCAATATAAAGCATACGAGAATAAAATTGTAACTATGCTGATAACTTAATCAGGTGTTCAAGGTCAAAATCAAGCTGTAAAAAATGAAGACAGATCACTCACTCTCTGATTACATTCGGCGCCGAAGATTTTGGAGAATGTGTACATTTTCGAAACATTGTGTTGAGTGCGTCGCCCGTGCCCTGCGGTAGCAGTGTCCAGCGAAGTAACCAGACATTTATCTGAACGAACATCGTACAAAGTATTTGGAACTTTACACGGTTTCAATCTTAAATACACCTGCACTAACTCCTGCTCTTCAATCTCTGAATCCTCTTCAAATAACTCTAGTAAATTCGTTCCCTTCTGCGGCCTCGGGCGCATAAATGGATTCTGTATCAACGGAGGCCTAGGCTCGATAAACGAAGGAATGTCTCTTCTAGATACTTCATTATCTGAGTACCGCTGCTCCAACATTTTTAAACCTTATATCTAAATAAACACCAATTACACATTAATTATATCGTAAAATATTTCATCTATCAACGAACAAAACAAACGGCGACGGTTCAACTTTTGAAATTGTGTTTTTAATTTTACACTGTTGGTAGCGCTGATTTTACCACAGACTACAAATAGATAGTGTGTTTTCGGTTACAATAATTAAATACTAAAGCCAGCTACACTGGTTGCGTTTTTTTGTCATTCATTCAATGAACGTAAGATAAAACTCAAAAGACTCTGACTCATACCCATAGATTAATAATTTGAAAAACAATCAGTCAAATTTTACAAATGTCGGATGTGCACTTGTGTATTGTTTTACAGTTGTTTATTTTTGTAATATAAATAAAATATAATCAATGCAGAAGGAAATGTGACGGATTTAGTGTGGCATATCACTTACAAACGACTGGACATTTGCTTATATCGATAGTTAAGAAATGTCATTGATGAATGTAAAGAATTTGTGAAGATGCGATTATTTTTCGTATTTGGCGTCGTGCCATAGTTTTAATTGCAGTTTTATCGAGGATACGAATCATGAAGTGGTCGGCGCTAGTTATTTTAACGTTGTTGTGGGTTCAAGGTGTCGTTGGTTTCTGTCCCTCATTGTGTACCTGTAAGGGTAACAAAGCGGCTGATGGGGCGTTAGCGGAGCCCCAGCCAGACGAGCTATTAAAGCTCAAGTGTGGTGGAAGCCCAGCACAAATTACGGAGCTTAAAGAAATAGATTTGAGTAAATTATGGACAATTGTAGTAAGCTTGTAAGTACATCTTTTCATCAACTTCTGAATTAAACAGAAACAGTGTACCCTTAAATTATAAAACTTCCTGTTTTCAGGAATCTATCTGGCAATGCGATATCGACCTTATCACGAGAGCTGTATCTGCCAAATTTACAGAAACTGTGAGTATTGTGCATAAACATTACAGAGCTATTAAAACATGCAGGTCTTAGTGGCATATCATAACAAACAACACTAAATATGATAAGGCTGGAACACTATTGTGTACCATACATTACTGGCTGGTAAGAATAAAGTTGTAGTTTGGCAGTGCAGCCAACCTCATGGGCCATTACAGAATTAAATGACACACATTTCAGTTTGTTTACATGACTCTAAATCCGTTTTATGTGCTAGTAGTGAATAATGAATGAGATCTTACAAATGGATATTGAGAATTGCTTTTGCTAGCATTGTTTTGATGTGAAATGCTTTTGTGTGTTGTAGGTTTTCTTAACTATGTTTTAGTAATGTACTTAAATAAATGGTAATACTGCATGAATTGTATGTAGGCAAATGATTAAAAGTTGTTACATTGAGATAAAATCAATGCATTAGTGATTAGTTAGATAAACACACAGACAAGTCAATCTGGGTTATCAGACCTGTATGGCTATAATTTATTTAATGAATGTCATTTCTAAGCTATATTTATTATGTGAAATGATGAGTGAGATATATAGATATATGTACAATAATGTATATATAAGGTCATATCAGTAACTAGATATTCCTACTTAAGTGGGTTGACCCGCTGGTCAGCTCTCAGTAATTATGCTTTATAGCCTCCTTCAAATGGAATATCTAATATAAAAAGAATTTTCTCATTTATTCTATTGTAGTTCCTAAGATTGACTGACAAATAACCAAAAATATAAATTTAATAAACAATACTAATGTTAATTATAATATATTTCTTAAAGGAATTAAATAGTTTTTATAGAATACCTTAAACAAACTAGGATAATATTAAATAACATAAACCTAATATATTCATTGTCATAAAGAATGAAATCATTTTCACACTCTTAGCTCCTAATGTACCAATGTCATTTAGGTACCCAATAAACTTAAATAGCATTTAATATCTAATACAAATACATTCTATATTCAATTATTATGTCAATTTGTCTGGTATCAGGTGGCTGTAATTATAAAATAGGCTCTAGAATTACATTTATTTATCAAAATAGCACAACATTGCAGATACATAAACCATAGTATTTTTTATGTCTTTTCAATCAACAATCTTTTTACCTGAGAAATGTGTTTTTTTTTATTATTAATACCTATTGTTGTTATACATTCCAAATATTCCTTTACTATTTTCAGCAGTCTAATTTGAATCCTTCCCAACAATAAATATTTTAATGTATAATATTAATCAAACAATTTTTTTGCAGAGATCTAAGCAGAAATCAAATAAGCTTGATAGAATCAGATGCATTCTACAATATGACAGCAATTCAGCGACTAGATCTGTCTTACAACCAGATCAGCAATGTTTACAAGGAGATGTTCAAGGGCCTGACTAATCTGGAGCGCCTCATATTGTCACAGAATCACATATCTGCTATGGCGGCTGGCACCTTTGACTATCTTATAGGATTAAAACAATTGTGAGTTAATCATATTATGTAACAAAGATTATTTTATGTTTAATGCAATTCAAGTAGCAAACAATTTCAAATATGCATATGTCAGTCATATTATAAGATGGAATTTCGCCCCACACTAGCATATTCTCTTGTTTCGTGGGTCCGTTTACAAACATACATAGTAACATACACATCACACCCAGACCCGGAAGTTCGTGGATCACACAAAGATTTGTTTAGTGCGCGAATCAAACCTTTGACACGTTACGTGGAAGCCAATTGCGCCAAACTAATTTTTGTACATTAAACGTATGCAAACAAAAATCAGTCTTGATTAAGTGCATGCCTTAATTTCATATTATTTTTCAAACTTCTACGAACATAATTTAACCGACGTCAGTCTGTTGTTACATAAATAGTATATTACTAAAAGAACACATTGTTGTTATATTATAATTATGTAATGACTGAATGAATACTCTTTTTTCCAGGGACATAACTGATAACCCACTAATATGCGATTGCGACCTCCTTTGGGTCGGTGAATGGTCGCGCAATACTAGCGTCAAGTTAGTGGGCAATCCAAAATGTGCCTTCCCCGAGAACATGGCGAACAAATTTGTAAGGAAATTAAAAATATTGCTCGACCGGTCCGCCTGTGGTAACGCAGTGTCCAGCAACAATTTGATAGTGAAACCATCCAACGATCAAGTAGTCTTCGTCGGAGATACTTTAACATTATCCTGTAATGCTCCCTTTGCTTCTGGCTTGGCTAAGTACGAGCTGCGCTGGGTCCATCCGATGCTTGAGATCTGTGATGTGAACGTCACAAACACAGATATGCAGGAAGAAGGCTTAGCGGAGACTACGGTGCACTTTCCGAACATCACAAATCACCATATGGGGAACTGGACGTGTGTGTACCACGACCAGAATCACATAAAACACAATCACACCGTGCAAGTGTTGGTGCTGTCGAACTCTACGCAGTACTGTCCAACGAACTATACGATTGATAATAAAGGATTGTATTCGTGGCCTCAACTACTTTTGAATCGTACTGCAGCAGTGCCATGCCGCAGTGGGGAAGGGATGGCGTACAGATCCTGTTTCTCTAACTCAACTTGGGGCCCTGCCAATACAAGTGAATGCTCCTACATTAGCAATGTGACGAAACTCCTGCAGCAGTTCGCCCTTTTAAACGTGAGTTTGGTGCAGTATTCCGCTGTGAATGCTACGGAGAGACTGGCCATGTTGATACAAGAGAAGACTTATCCGCTAGCTGAGATCATTGATCCTGATGATGTGTTTTTTATTGGGAAAGCTATAAGGAATTATATGCAGTATATAGCTGAGGAGAAAGATCTTGGTGAGTAGTTGAGATATTATGTATTATTATGAGTGATGTCAAAGTTATTTTTAAATTAAAGAGGCCTTTATTGTTTTATGTATATCTCGCTATCTGTACAAAACGTGTCAGCCGCAATAGTCAGTATAATTCATAACGTGATTAAAATATTCCCTCAGTTTCTTTTTCTAATGAAAATTATTGTAAAAATAGGTCACGTTATACATCAGACATTTTATTGGTGTAATTTAATAGAGTATGTTAGTAGTTGCTCTACAATTATAAATTTTATTAACAATCATAAACGAAATGTGATTATTTTGTTTGTACAACACAAACATAGTGTATCTTTAGCGGAATGTTACTTCAATACTAATATTTTAATGCGGTAAAATTTGTAAGTTCGTATGTAGGGGGTAATCTTTGGAACAGCTGGTCGAATAGCCAAAATTCTTTAACAGACTACAATGTTTCTGAGTGCTATAGGCTATAAAACATCACGCTACGATTACATGGCGCCGAGCAGCGGGTGAAACCGCGCGAGAGTAGCTAGTATATTATAAACGTGAAAGTTGGTATGGATTAATGTTTGCTAGTCTTTCACGTTGAAACTACTGAACGAATCTGAATATAATTTGGCACAGAGATGGCTATAGTCTGGAATATTTATATTACATACGCTACTTTATACTTTAAAAATGCAGGCCGCTGGCAGATACCTGTAACACATACTTATTATAATAATACTAAATACATTACACATTATTTATATACTTTGTGTTTAGTTTCACGATCCGATAAAGTTACACAGGTTGTGGCTACAACCGCATCGTATCCTTGAACTATGTATATATTTTAACACACATTCGCAAGAATGTATTACTGCCGGTGCAATGTACCAATGTACCCGGGACGCCGGCCCGAGGTAGGCGAAGCAACGGGGTGTTTTTAGTCAGTAAGGGTCTGCCACTCCCTCTTTTCCCTACTCAGAGGAAGGAAAAGTCACTAGATGATTTTCTCCCATCAAAAATAGAATATACTAGGTTCTGCCCGCGGTTAATAAAAAGTAGCCTATGTCCTATTCTGGAGTGTATGCCAGCCTGTGCCAAATTTCATTCAGATCCATCCAGCCGTTTTGGCGTTATTGAGTAACAAACATCCAAACATCGTAACTTTCGCATTTATAATATTAGTAAGATTGGTAAAAAGTATGATTAACGAGCAGCAACTTAGGGACCATGACTCTTAACTGATTTGAAACAGTCTGTCAGACTTCTTTTCTTCGTCTTCCTGTACCAATGAACCAATCGCTATTATTATCTCGATCTCCCCCAGGCCCCACACTCCTGGACGTGATAAGTTCTACAATGAACATCAGTATGCCTGTACTGGCCCGCGCGGAGACCATGTACGGAGTGTGCACCGACATCGCCCGCGCCGCCGAGGAGATCTCCAAGTATATTGTCAATATCCAAGGGCAGAAGGTACGTAACTACTCATGATTAGTATTTGGAATAAGATATTTATCGTATTTTAAGTGTGGGAGGGGCCTTCGGCAGGACTGGACCACCAGTGATACCACGGCCTCACAGAAAACTGGCGTGAAGCAAACTTCCATTGTTTTTTCGCCGTGTTAGTAAGCTTGCCAGAGGTCGAGTCCTTCCCTCCTCCAGCATTTCCCCTATCCTCACTTCTCAAATCTTTAATAACTCACAAGAGGCCGGTAACGCACTTGTAGTAAATCGTTTGGTATTGAGAGTGTCAATGGGCGGCGTCGGTTGCTTACCATGAGGTAATCCGACCCATCAAAAAAGTTACGAGTGAGCAGTCAGCCTTTTGGGGAAAAGGGTTTCGGATATTTCGGCTTTTGAGATGGAATGTGGTTAAAGGGAAGGGATTGGGCCTCCCTCACACGAAACACAGCGCTGTGGTTGTTTTACGCCTGACTTAGTCAGGACTTGGTTGGGGTTTTTAGTCAGTAAGAGTCTGAAGATTACTGGAACGTTTTCTGTCAATGTCAATTTCATTGTCAATTTTCTGTTATGCCGTCTATTTTACAAGTTTCTTGTTAATATTGCAGTCGAACCTAGCAGTGGAACATTTCCGCGTGAGCGAGGGTTTCGGTGGCGCGACATGCGTGTGGTACAGCGCGGAGCGCGGCGCGACGCCCCGCCTGCACTGTACCACCACCAACCGCACGGTGGCGCCACTACTCACCGTCACCGACGCGCTCATACACGCTAGCGTACAGGTAATAAATAATAACTTCTCAACTTATTCATGAATTTTTTTTATACTAAATGTTGGTAGTCTTTATTTGGTTTTGGGGATGCTTGTTTTTCTTTATTAATCTTTAGTAGGTACCTAATTCTATGGTTTTTGGTGGTTTTATGAATTGGTTTATTTTTTAAATTTAACAGGCGACAATAGCCAATAGATATAGTTTTATTCTATGGAGTGATAGTAATTAGGTGGGTATTTTTTTTTAGGATATACATGTAACAAGTAATATAAAAATAAGTAGTAAGAAACTCAGTTCGCCTTTAATTTTCTTGCGTGGAACCGACTTTTAATTTGTGTCTTACACAAATCTCTTGTGTAATATTATGACCTCTATACTACCAAAAATTTGTAAAATAAGTATCCTTTATCCCGCAAACTGAACTACTAACTTTTTCGTCACTCCCAGAAACAAAATTTACCTCCACAACATACTTAGCCCAATCCTTATTCCTGCAGATACCACAGTCCCTGCTCTACAGCACGACAGACGCAGGCGTTTTACTCCAGAGTCACCCACAAGACCTCGTCATCTCCATGTATGAGAACGCGGCCCTCTTCCCTTTGTTACCTCTCAGTGACACGGACTCCGAGGCGCGCCTCACTCAGCATCGAACCAAGGACTACTATGGAAGAAGCACTAAAAGAGAGGATATGAATATTGAGATCACTTCGCCTGTGGTCGGGTTTCAGTTGAGTAAGTATTTTGTATTTTAATAGCTTAAACTTACTTAAAACGGCTTACGACGACTGGCTCTCTAAAGTTTATGTTCCGTATGATCTATCTAAAAGTTTAAAATAAAATAATTTTTAATACAGTTGCTATAAAAGTGGCGTATTGCAAGGACTTGTCGCGTTCGGGACCTGGGCTATTTCACACTCGTGCTTTTTTTTTGCCTTTCCCGAACTTTTACTGAACTTTTCTTTCCCAACTGTCAAAATAATTTCTATTAAAAAAAAACAACCATAAAGTTTTAACTAAAACAAAAATCATAGAAGTTTTGCGATTCATGCAAATTGGTTCATTTGTTTCTAAAAATAAGCTACCTATACTAATTTGTCCAATATCAGAATTAATTATTTGATTGATTCAATGAGTTAGGTAAGGTTTCAGTTCATTTCATATCATAAAATTTCAATTTCATTTCTTATAATAAATAATACTAAGTACTAAAGACTTGGCTGTATGGGCAGTTCCCTTTGCTTACCAGAATGGGTGAAAAAAACTGCTTACATTCTACGGTTGGCGCCATTTTCCGAAAATTTCTTCGCGAGTTTAGTTGTTTTCGTGTTTTTATAATTTGATTAAATTGCTTATTTTTTTCGCAAATGTATTAAAAATAGTCGTTTAATACACGTACGGAACCGTCATTGCAACTCGTTCCGACTGTCAACAACTACTACCTACCTGTACTAGTAATCAAATATACTATTTTAGTAAAACATATTTATTGTACTCTTTGTCTCTCTTAAATTATTTTATTGTTATTCTGGCTACTCTCGATCTGATCGCAGCATGATATTTTATAGTTTATAGCCCGGCCGATTAATGGATTAGAAAACAAAACGAATTGTACAATTTGAACCTACATATAGTCCAACAGATTAGCGCGTTCAAATAAACAAATTAACTGCTTCTAATTAATTATACGGAAGAAGAGTTCATTTGTATGTTTTTAGGTATTTTAGGTAGGTATAAGATTAAGAAAGCGTTAAGTAAAGTTCCATATCCAAATTGTAAATAATAATTTTGCTCGTCAGTGAACACGAAGGTCCGCGGCGAGTTGATAGAGCCGATCATAGCGACGGTCCGCGCGCGATCAGTGGGCGGGGTCGACGGCCGCGCCGCCGTCTGGGATCCCGCCACGCGCCGCTGGCAGGATAATACTACAGGTAACATTGATATTGTTATTATTATTACTTAATTCTGCTTTGAAAAGGAACCATAAAGTCTGTTGTTCTAAGGTATTTTATACGATGATTGATTTGTTAAGTTGGGGTAACGACACTATTTGTCTGTCAGTTTATTTTTCTTAACTAATGTAGGTTTTTAGGAGAAATCTAATGGTGTGGACGCCTCTCACATAGCAATTTGTTTTCGTAATCAATTTGGTTCGTTATCCGTTGCAGACTGCAAGATATCGCACGTGGTGTCGGAGATGATAATAATAAGCTGTCGTCGCCCGGCGCTGGTGGGGCTGCTGCAGAACGTGGAGACGGGCATCTACGGCGCGCGGACGGACGGCGCGCGGTTCAAGGTGTCGCACCCGGCCGTGTACGTGGGGTCGCTGCTGCTGGGCGCGGCGCTGGCGGCCGCCGCGCTGGCGCACGCGCTGGCCTGGCGCCGCCTCGCCATGCCGGCCCGCGCGCGACATGCGCTCGTCAACTGCTGGGCCGCCATGGCGCTGCTCTGCTTCATGTACACGCTCGGCATCTACCAGACCGAGGACGTCAAGCTCTGCCAGGTCATCGGCCTCCTCATCCACTACCTCTCCCTCTGCGTCCTCCTCTGGATGTGCGTGCAGGCCAGTAACATGTACAAGTGGGTCACTAAGACCCACAACCCGGTGCGGACTCCCGACGATGATATACCTCCGGACGTGCCCGTGCAGAAACCTATCCTGGGTTTGTACCTGGTCGGTTGGGGGATAGCGTTGATCATTTGTGGAATATCCGGTGCAGTGAATTTAAAAGACTATGCGGGCTATTCTCAGTGTTTCCTCAGTACAGCACCAGCTTTGAGTGCGTTGTTCGTCCCAGGAGGGATTCTATTAGTGTTTCTGTTGACTTTGTTCTTGTTAATTCGGTGTACGATAAGAAATAATAACGTGCAACTGTCTGAAGGGACGCAAGCCACTGAGAATGTAGATTTGGAAATGTGGGAGCCTCAAAGTAACGAGAGAGCTGAGCGTAGAAGTGTAAAGTCTACGTTAGATTCGGAGGTGGAGGATATAGAGCATACTCCGATAATACAGTTGCGTGCGCAGGTGATAGTGCTGTGCTTGTACCTGGCCGTGTGGACCTGTGGCGCTGTGGCCGTGTACCGGCCCTTACCTGCCTACCTGCCCTACCAGGAAGACATCTGCAGCATCATGTACGCCGTCTGCGCCACAGTACTGGGCACCTTCATCCTCTTTTTCTACGGCATAGCAAGAAGTGACGTCAGAACACAGTGGTCCATGATGCAATGCTACCTACAGAAAAGTAAACAGTGCTGCCGGAACAGAAGCGTTTTTGATGCCAATCAACAAAACCTACCTCAGAATCAGACTGCCACGCCTCCTATACTACCCATACCCAATGACAATAGGTCCCAGTCAGGCAGTAGAAGTTCTAACCGAACGAATTCTAAAACTAACAACAGCGGGACGTATAAAGCAGCTGCAGAGCTGAACGGACAGACTCTACAAAAAGATACATTGAAAAACACCAACGGGAAAGCTCCAAACATCAATTTGGTGGTTTTACACAGACAACAGTACAGGTCGAATAATTCCATGATGACGTACCCCGACAACGGTACTGTTGGTCCTGAAATATTCTACAACCCCAATCAAATGAATGTAGCCAAAAAGTTCTTTAAGAAACAGAGACAGAATATGAAGAGAAACTGTTTGGAACTACCGACGAGGAGGGATTGTGACAACGACTCGCATTTCTCTTTACCATTACCCACAAAAGAGGCTTACAATGGTGTTGCCAATATTATAAACTCCGGATCAAAAGTGAACAACACCAACATACATGTAGAGAGATCTAACAACGGCATGAAGGAGACTCGCAACGTATTGAACCCGAACCTGTTGGAAGATGAGTCGAAGGACAATTACAAGAACTACTCAACAGATAAAAAGGCGTGGAACAAAAACGAGGACCCCAAGACGAGCAGAGCACAGATTATGAATATTTATACAAATGTTCCCGAGACATTGGTGCCTCAACACCAAGTTGTGAAGGCAAATGTCCCGAAGAATTTCAATGGGCAGCGGAGCAGTGTCTCCGAGGAGTGTCTGCAGAGCCACGCCAGTGAGCAGCCAGAGATGAGGACCATCTCCCAACAGTGCAGCTTAGAGTACAGCTCAGCATCAGAAATAGCCATGCCACACACATGCTCTGATCAAACACTAAACACTCATTCAGAAATGACCTCTTTCCAAGAAACACACAGTGCCTTATGTTCTACCAACGAAATCACCGACACCGAGAGCTTCGGACAGTATATAGATTACTTGCAACCAGGGAAGCAGGACAAAGAGAATGTTATAGACAAGTCACTGCAAGATATCTCTGAAGAATGCACCATGAACTCTGACGATGTGAACAGGTCTAGTACTCCGCAGCGACTGGAAGCAGACTCGGGGGAGCTGGACAATCTACTGCAGAACCAGGAGCTGGAGGGTTCTAAAGAGAAGCTGGACGACGACAAGGAAACGTTCTTTATGGCCAAAACAACGTATGACTTCGAAACTTGCAGCACAAATGCGAGCGAGCAAGGCTTTGAAAACGAGAGCGACATCTATTGTCCAAATTACCAAATGTCTGAAGTGAGTATCCGAAGTCACGGTTTGTACGCTCCGTCGCCGTCGTCCATGTGTCCAAACGAGATCAGCTTCAGCAACGAGGACGTGTCGAACATCGAGAGTCAGTACGTCAACTATGATCCTGGGTGGAGGAAAACTATAAAGAGTAATCCTAAGTTAGGTAAGTACGTGCCGACGCCAGCGCTCAGCTGTCCCGAGGTGAACAGGGACAGTAGTCCGGTGTCGTTCGCGAGTGAGATAGACGAACTATACACACAGATCACGAGTAGAGATAGAGATAGAGAGCGGACGCCCAGGAAGGACACGGGGCTAGACGTGACGCTGAACAGCGACATCACGCTGAAACCAGACAGCGACAGTTGTGTCAGTGAAGCGGTGTCCGATGTAGAAATAAAGGGAGAAACAACAGTGTAGTTGTAAACTGAACCTTACGGAGGCATTTTGATACCTAGTACGTTTGTAGGTAGATCCTTATAGCCTTCCTTCTAGTGATTTTGGACTTAAAGTTAATTATATAATGAACTCTTTGTTATTCGAAGAAATGTTGTTTATGTATCATAAAAGATATTATTGCGATGCTATTAGACTGTAAACGTGCTACGATTTAAGTTATACGCTTCGGTAATCTTCGGAGATGTTGACTATACTTTTTACATTTACCGAGTTCCTTATTGACACTGCCATTAAGTCGAAATTAACTTAGCGCATAACTCAAATGTTTGGAACGAAAAGTGTGCTAGAACAAATTGATATGTTTGAAATCTCATACTAATGTATAAGAATGTTGACTGTCTGTAAATATTATTTTACTTTCCACGAGCATTCTTACATTTGCGTGCTTTTCAAATGAAGTACGCACATGTATGCTTGAGTTGTGTACCGAGTTTTTGGGAGACCGTAAGGCACTATTAATCCTGCCTACCCCAAAATATCTACATCGGACAACTAATATAACGTAAGTATTGTTTATGACAGCTATTACGTGCCATTTATGACTTTTGCGTATATTATTGTAAATGATCAAACTGTAAAAACTTTCTTTCTATAAAGGTTTTCGAAACACCAAAACTAGGAAAGATAATAATCGTATTTTTCATTTACAAAATAGCTTTTCAGAAAATAAACGAGTAGATAATGGGAATTATTACTATTCCTTGAGTAACTATTCCTTAATGAGTCTCAATTTACTGTGCATTTAAATACATAAAATCAACAGTATGCGCAAAAGTTAATGTATAATTTCTCTATTAGTGTTTAAGTTGTATATTTTAAATGTATAGTTATTTATTATTAAGTTTATAACAGTCTGAATAGGAGGTAGCTTCTGTCTCGTGTGAAATATGCTTGACTTGAAATACGTAAAAAAATATATTAATCCTACTATCCTATCTTTTTGTTAAATATTGTAAAAGAGGATAATTTTGGACTCGATGGATTGATTTGCGCAACTGATAGGTCAGCGCGTAATTGCCCAAAATTAATTATTATACTATTAACTTTTATTGCGCATAAGTCGCAATACTCCCAATAACATTTGCGCTACGCTATCAGTTGCGCAAAGAAGATATTGATTGCGCAAATCTTTGCGCAAACCTGCTACGATCCTTCTAAATGTTTGTTTAAGTTGACAACACAGTACACCAATGTTGCAATATCAACTTACTTGCAGTATTTGACAACTAGATAAAAGTATGGTAAACAATAAAATATGTGCCAAATCTCGATAGAATTTTCAGTAACGTTTTGTACTTAAATACTTTATACGAAATTGACTGAAAACATCACCGCCTTTGTGTCTAGTCCAAATTACATACATGAATGGAGTGATGAGTAACTCACCGTTTTCACTTGTCGAAAATACAGTTTTTTATAGGTTTTATAAATTTTAGAACGAGGTTCGTTTCGTAAGTATACATTTCTGTTTTCAGTACATTAATTTTCCAAGTTTAGTAAATGTCGAAAAACGTTACACACACAATACAACTTGCCTCGCTGTTAATTTTAACCTCCGTAATTACCACTCTAACTGATCATATCAATGATGGATGATACCGGTTTTTTGCCGGCCAGATGGCGCTAGCGTAGTTTTTCGTCAATTCGTCTTTTTGTGAAGTAGAGAACTAGATAGTGTCACGTTAAAACTTTGATTGTGATTAACTACGTTAGCAGTCTAATGAAGAAATATGTAGATCGGAACACAGTATCCTATCCGCATACTATAGGTCATGCATGATATGATCTTACTGAAGGAGGAATAAAGAAAAATAAACACTTTTCAACAATAAAGGGAAATAGCTAGTGTCACACTAGCACGTCAAAATTTTGATTGAACAACCTGACAACTAGCGCCATCTGATGAGAAAATAGCGGTGAGACCTGATTAAAGAATTAAGTCGATAAAAAATGTGAGCAAATTGAATAAAATTAAAATCGCTGAGTTACTAGTTGCCCCATGCCATGAAACCATTCATTTAAGATGTTTAAAACTAAACCTTTAGTAACTGTTGTAATAAAAATTGATCGACAAAAAGATGAAATAATATTTTTGGGGGCATACTAGGTAATGTACACTGCTACACCTTCAGAACCATATTATCATGACCTCAATTTCTTATATTAACCCCCACATGTAACTACTTATAATATTAGTATTGAAGTGGATTAATATTAAACACAGAAACCGTTGTGATGACGTAACCATTATAAAAACATACCTTGGCGTATTTTGTAGATATTATTGAGACATATAAACCTATTCTACATTTTTGGTTCTATTGTCAACTAGCTTCAGCCCGCGGTTTCGCCTGCGTGGTGGATTAAAAGTAGCCTATGTGTTAATCCAGAATATTACCTATCTACGTACCTAATTTCAACTCAATCAGTGTATCCGTTTTTGAGTAAGAGAATAACGAACCTACATCCATACATTCTTAGAAACTTTTACATTTATAATATTAGTAAGATAGGTAGCTTATACTGGTTTGCCATTACTGGATTTGTACCCAAAAGTATTATTTCATCTTTGCCTTGTTCTAAAATTCGTGCCTACTATTTCATAATCTGGCCTAATCGATTTTGTGACTTTTTCTTAGTATTGTAACGAATGAGACTACACAGGATCGTCGGTATATTCCAACAGTTGTAATTTTCACCAGTGAGATTTTACCAGTGGTTTTTTTTGCAATAAGATTTTAGCCATTGGGTAGTGATTCTAGAGGATGATTTTTATTTTAGATAAGAAATTCCATACATTTTGTTTTGTTTCTTTTTATATTGATTTCTTAGTTCAGCAAAATAACTTTATTTTTGTAAATACAAGTGTAGTTTCCTTCGTAACAATCAGGAGTGTGTTATGACACGGTTTTATGTGTGAAAGTGATAGTGCTATACTGTGCTTATAACTCTGTCTTTTTTCACACTGGGATGACTTTATTATGTCAGAAACATTTAAATAGATAATCGCCTGAGTTCACATTACAAAATTGATTTTGTATAAAGGGAGATAAAACGACTAAACGATCATTTGGTCTCTTCTACATTCGAATATCCTTAACAGCCAATCAGAGTGGTTAAAATAATTCTAAAAAAAGAGACAACAATAGGTCACATACGTTATCTTGATTTCTGACAGTTCATAAAAAATGTAATCATTCAATCTATGGTTCGAGAGAAGGATAACGATCGCTGTAGAAAATAGTGTCCCAGAAATACGGATAAAATAAGTGAGGCGCTGCGATCGCTAAGTTGTTTTAAATAACCGGGTGTTGTGCGCTAACCAATGCCGCGAAGAAAATGGGTACATTATTCAACTAACTTCATAAATGTACTTGCACTCATAATCAGCTAACTTCACAAATACAAGTTTCCGACGTTAGCGCGGCTGGTGGCTGAAAAATGAACTATTAATTCTACAAATTTTCAGGGACGTAGCGACCGTTCTCCCTCTCTCTAACCTCCATGGTCACGACTAACAACTCTGTCTTGTATGTAGATAATAAAATTAATTGTAGAAGAATTGTCTATGCAGCTATTGTGATATAAATCTTCCTTGTTTGACGCAGTTGAATGCGCCCGACTGTAGGTCGCTCTTTATTGTATTGTAATATTATGAGATTTGTGAATATTATATAATTATAGTGAAAATTTATGAATGGTTAGCTTTTTGTGGAGCATATTGCGTATTAAAGAAGCGTTTGCACTTGTTTATGTTTTATTTATTTGTTTGCCATATTAAAATAGGGGCTAATTGCCTAATTGGTTGATTGCTTGGCTTTAATATTGAGTCGGGGTTGCGGGGCTCGCTCAATAAAGTAGCTAAGCAAAGGTCTAAAGCAGGAGAAGGAACGGGGGGTTTTTAGTCAGTAAGTCAGATAGACTGCACGGTTGGTGCGCTGGCTGGGCAACATGCCGTGCAATGTGTCGCGGGTTCGATTCCCCCAAGGAACAACTCTTTGTGTGATCTACGAATTGTTGTTCCGAGTGTGGGTGTCTTGTGTCTGTGAAATTATATGTTTGTACCAGGACACAGGTCCACGACACAGGAGATAATCCTAGTGTGGGGCAACGTTATATTTAAAATAAAAAAGAAAGAAATTAAGGGTCTGACACTCACTCCCCCATAACCTCACAAAAAAGGCATTGATATCGAAAAAAGTATAAAACAAAAAACGCAGTAAATAAAAAATATTGTAATAAAATTCAAATTACATCCTTTATTTGGTTAAATATAAATATTAGAAATATAGGTAATTTCAGCGCTAACAAAGTCTTTGGTAAGACAACAATTATATTATTAGTTACTGCAAAACGAGGTGAATAGAATTTGAGGGGTGAACAGTTACACGAAAGGGATGTTAGCGAATTTTCCTAGTAGGTATCTATTCTTTTTTTTTATAAAACGTTGCCCTACACTAGGATTTTCTCCTGTATCGTGGGTGCGGTTACAAACAAACAATTTAATTGCCCCCCTTCTGTATCTACTCACCCCTCGAATTCGATTTACCCCTTTTTACCTTAATTATTTACAAGTTTTTACCATTATGTACCACACATAATAATATTTACTCATTAATTACTCAACAAAAAATATTCAATTTCAAATAGCCATATTTTATGGCTAACAATAAAATGTGTGTAATGAATAAATAGTTATAAATAAAACAGGGCGACAGTAATCCATGCTACGATCCAAAGTGCATTGATTAATAAGAGCAAAGTATATCTAATCGATTAAATTTTAAAGTATATTAATGTGGACTTTAATATCATAACACAGAGATTTATAATCGTATGATTGTTGTTGTGAACTTTGGAACTATAATTATAAGATTATTACTATGATACAGACTCAGGAATTAATAATAATAGTATACGTGTAAGGCGTTTTAGTAAAATTTCGATTTTCGTTGCCTAGATGGCGCTAGTGCTGAGTTCAATCCAAAAAGCTATTATGTATAAATTTATAATAACACATCTACCCTACAATATTATCAATAAACACATTCATCATTTTAAAATGATTATTATACAATTACAAAGTTAATTAATAATAATGGCTTACGTTAATAACTAAACTGTACAGAAAATGTACTCTAAAATTTACAAAGGAGCCTTTTTTGCCACAAGCACACACAGTTTTCGATATGCTATCAAGACACTGGTCTCTTCTAGGTTCTGGACACTTCAGAGCTTTTTACAAACATTCACGCACAATTACTATATCTATATATTTAAGATTAATTTTAATATTAAATATTCACAAAAAATTATCACGCTTGCGTTGGTGGCAAGACTAATCTAGCCGTAAGTTCGCGCCCTCTGTCGGCGACTGCACCAAACACACGACCCATTAAACCTCTCGGTACCTCTTCTATGAGCTTTTCTTTTTCTGGAAAAAAAATAGTCTCATATGTATTGTGTTAATACCTACCAAAATCGAGGATTATCTTATTAAGTATTATTTATACCTGGAATTGTAGTTGAATAGATTTAATTGAACTACAGAAATGGTAGTTAACTAAGTACCTACTAAACTAACTGAGAGTTTCGTTATCAAAACATCTTCGAATTTTCAAAATTTAAGAAAATCAAATCAGTCAGTTAGTCTTTTAAAATATAATAATGTGTTTTCAAAATTGTGGACGGTACCTACTAACCCACTACATAAGCTTACCTATAAGAAAATCCAAGAGCACATCAGTGACCTCCTTACTGCTGGGTTCAGGTTTGGAGACGAGGCGCAGTGTGGACGAGGTGCAGTGCTGTGCACTGGCCACCAGCTGCGCTGCACTGTCCTTGTTGCCGACTAGTAGGGCTGGGGCTGATGTACGTAGACCTGGTTTCACTTGCCACCAGGCCGCACCTGAAAAGGGAGCAATGAAAATTTTAGTGAGATAATTGTCTAATTGTTAGTTCTTGCCGAAGTCGAGCATTCTCTAGCAGTGAAAATTTTGGGTGATGAAGACAGGAACCACATTTTTTCCCGGGAGTAAAATCACCATATGACGCCTTCCGCGCTGTGCGGAGGAGAGGGCGTTTTAGTCCCAAAATATAAGAAACCAACCTCTAACATAATTAAGTGCGCCAGACCAGTCACAGGCTCTGGAGCTGGTCCAGCGACCCTCGCGGTCGTTCAGCTCGCCTTCTGCCAACCATCGCTCCGGGAAGTGCGGCCACTGAAGCAAGTACATTGGGTTAATATTCAACGGTATCTGTGTCAGAAAAATAAATAAATTGTAATGCTTCCGCGTACAGTTGTATAGATATAAATGATCAAGATGTGCGTGAAAATTAAAAGACATTTTTAAAAACGTACTGGTTCCCAGTCCCACTACCTACTTACCTTATGTTTTCACTGTCCTAAAATCGGCAAAATCGTTTAGGTACGTTACGAAGCTCTTTCTGAATGTTCCAAAATGTGTAGGAGATAGTTAGAAGTGTAGAGAATGATATAAATCACTTTTGAACTTCAACCAAAAGGAATATTTAATGATAAAATGTGTCAGTCCATCGGTCAGTCTTCCAGTACAGCTAAATACTAGCTTAGTTCGTGAGCTCGGACCTATTTACTCCTTAATTTTAAAGCAGCTGTTTACCAAAATGATGAGGGTGATGTCAATACTTGGTGCTCACACAAACCTGTATAAACTGCAGAGCTCGATGGCAAAAAGTGGCTGGTGGATACTGCCAGTAGAGATTCGGATGAGGGGCGTTTATCACGGCGAATTTGCTGATCAAAGATCCTCTAGTGTGAACTAGATACCTGAAAAGAGAAACGTTTAAGATTATTATTTTAACAAACCTCATTCGTCCATTAGACTAAACTACCTACAAATAGGAAAGTATACACTACAAATGCCCAACACTAGGTTTTTTCCTGTGTCTTGGGTGCGTTTACAAGTATACAATTCCACATACACATAACACCTAGACCGGAAACAGCAATTTGTAGATCACACTAAGAGTTGTTCCGTTCGGGAATGCGCGGCCGCCAGTTGCCCAGCCAATCGTGCAGTTAATATGTTTTTATTCTATACTATAGACTTTAGTATTTTAAACCTACTATAGACCAGTTAGGTTCTCGTAATAATTAAAGGATTGGTTTTATAAAATACAATTTTATTAACATGCGGCTGAAAAGGGCTGACGCAATCTAAGATGAGAATTCCAACAAAGTAGTAATTCAGAATTGATAGCTTCTCTTCCTATGCGTTCTAACTTATCATATCAATAACATATTTGCATAATACACAAGTGGGGAAAGTCATACATAACTGGCGTCAGTATGCACTATCTATCAATTAAACCTGACCTTTGATATCTGACGATATGCACGTCATTAAACTTGCATACTTAGCGATAGTGTAATGCGATGATAATACTTAGTACGAGAATGTCGTATGATTTAAGATGTCTATGTGGCTCGAGATTTGGTGATATGAACAGAATTATCGTTTATGTCGTATGATTTGACATGTACCTATTTGTGGCTCGATATTTGGTGGTACAAGCTGAGTAATGTGTGTCGTCATTGGACAATTAGAATAAATAATTAAGTGTGGGAGAGCCATGCTTCGGCACGAATGGGTCGGCTCGACCGGAGTGATACCACGGCCTCACAGAAAACGGCGTGAAATAACCACTGCGTTGTGTTTCGCCGTGTGAGTGACTGGTTACTGGAGGCCCAATCCTTCCCCTTCCCCAATCCCTCCTCAATCCCTAAATCTCCAAATCCCTAATCCCTAAAAGGTCGGCAACGCACTCGTAACTCCTACGTGTGCTCGTTTGCCGACCTATTACATAAAAAAAAATACTAACCCTATGTAAGTACCTATCTAGCTGTATCCTACCAAAGTAAGTATTCGATTATAAATGCGCAAAACTCGTAAAAGCAAGTATCTATTGGATCGATTTTGGTTGAAATTTAGTATGCAGATAGGTCTGAAATAACACACAGACAGCTTTTTATCTACTGTATTGCTGCATCTCACCTTTAATTTTTGGAAGGAGTGCCTCACAAATAATATGCTATACGAATTTGCGCCAGTACCTAATGACTGCCCTAGTAGTTATATAATGAACTGAGCACAATGACACAATCAATTCTATTTCTTTATTTGAAAAAGTATGACGACACTTTCAAACTCAAGAACCGAACCACCATATACTAATAAAATGCCCGAAAATAAGTAGGTATCTACGTAGGTATACGTACCTATTTCTTATTTATTGCTCACTAGCTATTTAGCTACTCTCGCGCGGTTTCATTTAATTGTAGCGTGATGTTTTATAGCCTATAGCAGGAACATTGTAGCTATCTATCAGTGAAAGAATTTAGGTTATCCGACCAGCGGTTCCAATGATTTCTCCGTACATACAAACTTACTTTACCTCTTTATAATATTAGTAGATATACTTAGAAAAAACGTGATTCATTGGCTAATTATAACGAATATAATTATAATGAAGCCAAGACAGATAATAAATTAAAGATTAAGAAGTGTTAATAAAACTCGTATTTTTTATATTCAGCTCCAAAGGGCATCGTGACATCACAGCCAACACTCCAAATAAGTACCTACATGACTGATAATAACATCGTGTGATTATTTCCCGATTCGTGCGCAGACGCATGGCAGACAGTTTGTTCCCGATTCACTAAAGAGTCTGATAAAGATTTTTACTATTATTAAATTACTTAGTTCTATTGATAATTTGTAATTAAACCTATTACGTTGATCATCAAGAGCTAGTGCGACTATTAGATACTGAAACTAAAATTCATTAATTCTTATAAAATAATAATGTTATAGGAGCGGAAATAAACACAGTAGGTAACATTTGTAAGGTAGGATTAATAAAAGTTCACAGTTTTTATCAAGAAAGAATAAAGAATGTAAGAAGTTATAACAATTAAGTAAATAGTAGGTATTTGATGTAACTTATTGAAGATATTACAAAATTTGTTGCCAGGTGCAGCTTTTGAAAAAAGTCAATAAAAAAAAGAAGATAATAGAATTAGATAAAAATGCATTCAACTTCTTATCGAAAAAGTTATTTTTAAGATGGTACGATTTTATGTTTTTGAATTTATGATAACTTTTTGGCATCTTTATCGTTGTAACTAGGCTACAATTAAGAATATATGCACTTAATTGATTAAAAGTTAAGAAAAGTAGGCTCTTTGCTTTTGGCCGTAAAATGCAGGAGTTCATATTTCTATTAGAACCTCTTTTAATCAGTGAGTCTGGACTGGACTGTATTTGGAGCAGCCGTGAGACACGCAGTGTTTTTAACACATCCAGTGCCCCCGACGCGTATGTGCGTTTCCTTACGCTACTCTGTGTGCCCTCGACGCACCTGTGCGTTCTATACATTAATGTACATTAATGTATAGAACGCACAGGTGCGTCGAGGTGTACATTAATGTATAGAACGCACAGGTGCGTCGAGGGCACACAGAGTAGCGTAAGGAAACGCACATACGCGTCGGGGGCACTGGATGCGTTAAAAAATATTTTTCTCTCTTATTGTTTAAATTTTTTGTTTGATATGTGGTCTTCTGCACTGTTTGTATCGGTGTGCCAAATAAATATTTATCTTCTTTCTTTCTTTACTCTTTAAACATGAAATTACTCACCAAGTAAGCATTCCTCCGATACCGAATCCGATCACCACTGCCTGCCTGTTCTCCGACACTCCAAGAGCCTTCAACAATGCTGATAACTCTTCAACCGCTCTTGGAGGAGACAGATCACTCCTCGAACCCCCCTCACTCCCACCAGTGCCTCTCAAATCCAGGGTGACCACGTGGTGGTTTGTTTCTGCCAGCCTTCTGACAACATTGGCCCAGTTCGGTCCCCAAAGATTGCCAGTATCGGGCGCATCTTTGAGGATCAGCACTTTTTGGCCACTTCTCGGCCCTGTCTCGACGTAGTGGTATTTGACTCCCTGGAAACATCAAAAGTAGTTTTATGTAAGTTGATTGATATCGAGATAATATTAGTAAGTGAACGTCCTGTTGGTGGACGAGCAATTTCTCAAAATATGTTTTTAAAATGATATTGATTGCTTAATCTTTGGTCCAAAATTGACGAAGAAGGTCATTATAGACAAAGAAGTTGAGACAGCATTCCTTAACCATATCTATCCTAGATCTATACCTGGTCCCTATCTAATAATTCTCAAAAGCTTCTACTACGTAAACTACTTAACACGTTTTGGTCATCAGTGACCAACGCATGCAGAGTATCATGGATTTGCCTTTAAAAATATATTCTGTGGGCAGTCAAAGATCACCTGGTCTTTGAGATGGACTCAATCGTCAATAGTCATTAATACAAATTAGATGAAATAGACGTCAAATAGTGTGTTTGATCAAGGATAAGTAAACCTATGCACCTCTCAGATATTGGAGGATAGGATGACTTCCAGTAGTTACTTATACTATAGACATTTAACCAAACCCGGTTACAATTAGTTATTGACGCAATAATGACCTCGGACTGAACTAGGAAAAGAAATTACTTTTAAAATCAGTCGGAGATGTGGGTCAAGCGCAATTATGTAGGTACTACGGCCCCGGTCTGGAGCAGGAAAATGAACTGTAGGTATAGTTTTTAGTCAGTTACAGTCTGGGACTCCCTTCCTCCCCACCCAAGGCAGGCGTCATTTGTTCATGACTGATTTTCTTCTGTAAAAAATACTATATACTACATAATACCGATAGGAAAAACCTAAAATTTGCTAAAAGAATTACTTAAGTTCATTGACAGTAGTTGGTACCTAATCACTTGACGTAGGTGTGACAGCTCAATTTATTTGTGATTAATTTAAATTTGGTATCAATATAAATCTGATACTAAGTTCCTGATACAGTAACTCATTGTTATTATAAGGAATGAATATGAATTTCATTCTGTGTAACAAGTGCATCATCTTTGCTACTAAGATTTTTGTACGTACGTGAGTTCAAGCATATACCTAATGCATTTTATATAAGCATCTAAATTAGTTACAGTGAAACAGTGAATTTATTTTTGCAAATAGGCTATAAAACGGCACTTTTACACGTCAAATTATATCTTAAAAACTAGATGAAGCCGGCATTTTCTGTCTGAATACTCAGATTCTTCTCTAAAACAAACTCAGAGGTCTTTTCAGTGAGAGAACCGTGCAAGTTAATTCTGTAATGGTCTGTGTTAGGCAAAAGTTATATCGTCATTGGTGTTTAGTGTAGGCAATAACGATATCACCACGTTATACTCTTTGGGTGTAGGGTTGTCAGGTCGCCATATCTTATGGCTGGGTAGACTACGAGTTTCGCCTATGAGTTTGGGTAAAGAAGCCGAATACTGTGGGAGAGGGATACATATGCTTCTACAAGAATTGAGGAGGGGTTGACTGGAGTGATACTATGACCCACAAAATACCGGTGTGAAAAAACACTTAAGTTGTGTTTCGCCGTAAGTGTGAGGTTACTGGAGGCCCTTTACTCCCCTTTTCCCATCATGATTAGATCCAAAATACTTAAATCACTATCAAGCAACTACAGGCTTTCTACGCACCTATAACCCCATTGTTGTTACGAGTGTCGATGGGCGACGCCGATTGCTTGACATCAGGGGATCCCTTGGTGTTGCCATTTCATAAAAAACACTGGAGTGGTTCATAGTTCGTCGCCTTCATGAATACAACAACGTGAAGTGAGTTACGATCCGGTCAGGTCCGAGAAATTTAAAAAGCTGAACAGGACCTTTGAATTATGCCTGGACAGTCTAGGTACCGTAAATTTTGCCCAGATGAGCAATCAAAGCCCCTAACTATGTCTGGCAACCATATTGGAATCATAGTCTATAAGGTCATCGTAAAGTTGTGATAGGCCTGTACTCTGTATTTGTTCTATAGAATTTACAATACAGTAGGTAAGTAGCATTTTTCATGTCAATTATTTGCATAAACTTTCTCTATGCAACCGTTTATGTCGTCGACGAGTTCACGATCTCACCATTAAAAGTTTAATAAATATCGCAACCGTAACACATCGTTATGCCTTTTAATAGGTATCTAAAGGTTTAGGTAGAGATGTCTACATGCAACGTTACACACATTTGTCACCAGAGATGCTATGAATCCTCTGTATTGCAAAATGACCTCATCTAGATTTCTCCTTTTTTAATTTTGACGTGTTAAAATACTATTAAAGTCTTTAGGCTACTTCCACGTGTTCACTCGCTTCTCAGTGCTTATTATAGCATGTATAGATGTTTTATAGCATCTGCATAGGAAATGAATTGTTCTATTCGTACGAGAAGTTTCCGAGTATAACGATTTTTGATTTTGAATCCCCAAAACCTTATCCAAACAAGCAACGAAAGGCCGGCAAAGGAATTACAAGCGCGTTGCCCGCTTATAACTTCTTTGGCGTTGCGAGTGTCAAAGTGGCCAAACAAACTCTTAAGCTTTATAATGTTAAGTAAGTATAGATTAACAAAGTAAATTTTTAAACACAACCAATTTTAGACCTTTTGTAATTCATTCGACCTGCAGATCTTCAGTAGCTACACTTGCGTGAGACAATTATAACTTGAGTATCTAGTAATGAGGCAATTATGGCAATTTAAATTATTACATAGTATAAACAAATTAAAAGTACCTATCAATGTTTATGATAACAACATCTTTTAAATCAATTAATTATCTGTAGTTTTTTTATCTGTCTCCGTGCAAGTAAAGTTGTAAATCAATAGAACCTAGAAAATTAAAGTACTTAGGTAAGTATGTATTATTGATATCTACTATATATCGATTTGATATTATAATAATGTAACGGGTAGTTGACCTGTATAAATATAGATTTGAGCAAGCAAAAGATAACTTAATATAAATAAAACTTGTAAATCTACTAATAAACCCGATTTCTTTTCTAGATCGACACATAAAAGCTGAAATATTTGATATTATAATTATAATTGTTTTAGAAATTTAAGTGGTCACTAACAGTTCCATTACCCATACCAGGAACCCATAGAAGGATTTGTTAAAAATCCAGTAGTTAGATTTAAAAAAAAATAGTTTTTAGTAATAATACTTAAAGGGAATTGGATTGACCGCTTAGACATAAAAAAAACAAAATAATTAACCCGCCACAAAAAAAAAACAATAATAATCAAATTCAAAACAGTTCGAAATTCAAACTAGCTCACCATAACTTTAATATAGCAATGCGTTCCGATAGACGAATCCACGGTCAGTTCTACTGGCTGATTATCATCCACTTTTCTTCGATAACCTTTCCACAATCTCTTGACGGAAAGTTCGATAATTTGCCAAATGCCGACAAACACACAAGTTAGAATCAATTCTACGGCTTGCCACCCAGAAATCACTTGTAACACTTTCAAACTACGTGCGCCCATGATGAAAGTACATTTGGACTGAGTCAATAACGTGAAACAGTAAATGAGTGTCGTGATAGGCTCAAAGGTTGCTATAAATTACTCCATTGGCGACGCGACAAGCTGTTATCTGTTATCAAAGTTTTTTTTACGAAGCAAGCGGATATCACGCTTTGTGAGTACGTGTGCACATGATAATGTTTAATGCAGAAGGTTCGCTAGCGACGGGGATGCTTTTATGCTTGACATGGCTTGGTTTAAAGATGTTAAATTCAATAAAATTGACACGATTCCTTCTTTTCCCATATATATGTGTAGAGTAAAAGACTAAATGATTGTTAGTGATTGGGTGTCAACATTTTTTTATATAAATCTGAACCTTTTACTTAGGTACTTATAGTGAATTTAGTTTTGGTTTTTCACTGCCAACAAAAACTGTTCAAGTCTCGTCTCCTCTAGCGATATGGCGTTCAATGTGTTTATTTGTGATCTCACCTACCATGTGACGTTCAGCCGGGATTGTAGGGTAAGCGCAATGAGGCACCGCGACCTCGGCCCAGAGCAGAGAAAGGAACAGGGGGGTTTTTAGTCAGTAAGAGTCTGGCACTCCTTTCCGCCCGGCCCTGGGCGGGAGAAGTCATTTGATGATTTTCCCCTCACAAAAAAATGGAAAAACCTTTATAAGTAGAAGAGGCTAAAAGTCGAGTAGTGGCCTACAATTGACTGCTGGCTAGCAATGTGCAGCTGCAGTGTGTTGAAGAGACATTTTGTGTTTTGTGTGTAGTGCGACTGCGTTGCCGGCCTTCAGAGGATAACGGTTTACATTTAGAAATCCGGTTTGGAGGGAGCGGTGGGGAAGGGTAGGTCTCCAGTTAACCCCACTCAGACAGCTAAAAATAACTCTGTAGTTGTTTCACGCCGGTTTCCTGTGAGGACGTGGTATAATTCTGGTCGAGCCGGGCCATTTATGCCCAAGGACGGCTCTTTCCCACTTAGATATTTGTAGTTACACTTGCATTACGGAACTACTTCTTGAATACCGGTTGAGACTGCACGGTTGGTGCGGTGGCTGGGCAACTGGCTGCCGTGCAACGTGTCGCGGGTTCGATTCCCGCACGGAACAACTCTTTTTGTGACCTACAAATTGTTGTTCCGGGTCTGGGTGTCATGTGCATGTGAAATTATATGTTTGTAACCGCACCTACGACACAGGAGAAAATCCTAATGTGGGGCAACGTTTTTTAAAAAACTAAAAAAAATAAATTACTTGACTTCAAATGTAAGAATCTATTAACTACATTTTATGAAGATACTTTCTTTTATAGGTACATCAAAGCAACAGAGCAACTAATTCAAAAGGCAGTTTGTATTGGTTTTTCTGTTCTTATAATTGCATGGTGGAAGCAATCTGTCAAAGTGCGTTCACTATCTCATTAGCGATGTATGATTGGTGCATTGATTTGTTGTCTTGTTTACACTCATTGTAATTGGGTTACGCTGTCCCCTTTCCACTCTAATTGCTTGTTATTGTCGCTAAACGTAACAATTATTGTAGGTTACCCGCATAAATTAAAAAATAAATTAATCGTTTTTATATTTCTTCTGCCAATTAGTAAGTAATTAATCAACTACAAACAACAAATCATTTAGTTGTTTATTGGCACTTACTAGTATTATAAATGCGAAAGGTACGATGTTTGGATGTTTGTTACTGAATCACGCCAAAACGGCTTGACGGATCTGGATAGTTCATAGGCTAATTTTTATCAACATACCACGAGGGAGAAGGCGCTGCCGGAAGCTAGTTAAAAATGCACTTGTAACTTGTCTGGTGACGCGGGACGGGATCCATGGGAGGCGCTGATTATTAATACATTCTGCCATCAAGGTCCATTGTCCATTTTTTGACTATCCCATGAAGAGGAAAAACTAATTTAGGTACCTACCTATCTGCAAGGTGTAAAGTGCTTAGCCGAATTAATTTGAAACCTCGCAAACATCGGTTGAGTACTTAAAATGGAACAACGGATTACCAAGTAAATAATAAAAAAATGAAAAAATCTTATATTTTTTTTGCGTCGCGTCGCGTTAAGAGCAGTGGAATTTTATTCATCTAACAAGTACCTACGCTAACAACATTAGACACACATAAAAGCCACAGAGACATGACATTTTCATCATCTCTTGTCAGATTAGCTAATCATTTTCCAAACAAAATCAAATAATCAATAACAAGATAGTAAAGTAGTCCATCACACGATTAAAAAAAAGGTTCACTGTTTACAGAAACAAAACCTTTTTTTGTTTCTTTTGGCTATATGGCTGTATGGGCGTGAGGGTTTTATTTAAAAACAAATTAAGTGAGGTTCGAGACGGTAGGCACTCAGCTCCGGACGAGAGGATAATGTCAGAAACATATTTACGTTATGTTAAGACACGCGTTGGTTGGGGAAACGGAATTTTTTAGTTGGTAATAAATATTTTTTTATTAAGTTTTAATTTGATACAGGAAGTAATTTATTTAAAAATGATTAAGAATTGTAAAAGGAATACTAAAAAGATAAATAGATTTTAGATGAGAATCTGTTTAGCAAATCATCGTATCTATTTAAAAATTAGGTAGATAGGTATGTTTAAAACAGACAACATAACCTATAATCCTACATATTTGATGAACGCGAAAGTTTAACGCTTAATGTTTATTGCTCTTTCATGTAAAAAATAATATAATAATGAGTAGATTTTGTTAAAAAAATAGACAGATAGATTATATTAAAAATAGTTAGTTTTGCGAAGCCGCTGTCAGAACCTACATAATACTGATAAAGAAAATTGAATTCTCAAGCCCACGTACTTAATCAATTCATCCGATCAAGATTCTACATTCAATACCACTATCAATAAATAGCGAACACGAACTAGAAACCTAGCCAGAATAAGCGATGAGGTCACGTCTGGCAGCGTATTATAAATATATTCCCACTAATGGGTAGCGAGAGGACATGCAGAAATAGCCAGTCACCGTTGCTAACGACGGCTAAAGGCCATCTATAGTTATTGTGACGTTTTGTCTGCGCCCAGACTACCTTCCAAAGGATAAAATTGATTTTCAATATGATATTATGAGACGCCTGCGGTAATGTCAGGAGCAATGAGTTGCGAATGTGTGTTATTATCGTTGCGTTTGTTATTTTACAATGCACATGCGCTCATATTATGGAGTGAAGAGGCAGTGTAATAATGTGAAGTGATTCGCGAAGTGCTTTGTAATATGCAGTTAATTCTATACTTGTGTGTATGCCAGCTAGCTGTGGGAATTTTTTGAGAAGTGTTGAGTTGTGATATGTCGTAATGTGTTGTTTGAGAGCTTCGTAGCTGACCTGATTTTGAAACTGTGTGAATTTTATTATATAAACAGCTATGAAGCTAATTAATAAAATTACATGTTAAACAATTACCTAAACTACAATTCTTTAACTGCTTATCTAAGAAGGTACTATTCCTTTTTAATTTTATACTGTAGGTAGATATCTACTGCTTTTACACATATAGATAAGTATGAAAATATTCAAATAAACACAAAACTTTAAGTTTCCAATCGTTGAGGGAGGTAAATACGTCGAGCGCATTATCTTAGTACAAATCAAAAGTTTTATGTTCCACTAGCTTTTGCCCGCGACTCCGTTCGCGTGGAATAGTGACTTCCTGCCGATTTTTGGTATAAAAACTATCCTGTCTTTTCTCGAGTTCCAACTATGTCTGTGCCAGATTTCACAAGAGATTTTTTTTTGTTGATATTTATTATTGTCAGATGTTGTCAGAAGATTGTTATCAAAGAAAATATTAGAAAAGTAGAGGGTAAATTGGGAAAAAGTGACCTTATCGTTGTTAGGCGGGCCGCTAGTATAATATAAGAACGTGACAGAACAATATGTAACATGGCGATCAGATAACCCGACTGCTCAAAAAGTATTATTGTGAGTGTCCGTGCTTGACTGAAGGGTGGGTACAGGCGCATTTTCAAATCAAATTTTGACTGATTTATTTATTTCTTACTTTATGCAATTAAGCTTGTACCGATATGGACTTGTGGCTTAGGCGTAGGGTAGCTCGCATGCCAACCATAACCAGACCCTAGCGCGCGTCACGTAGCGTTCTATGGCATAAGGAGCAAATAGAAGCCACAGACGGGGCCCAGCGGCGTTCAGCCAGTGTTGCGGGGTCAGTGGCGGGGCAAGACCTAATTTTAATGTAGGCAAGACTGATTTTGTGAGCCCCTTTCCTGTGGCGACCTGAAGACGAAAGATAAAAATTCTTGAGGCGCGAGGTTCTCTGTACCGGGAGACTGAAGGCGCCACGTCGCCCATGCCCACAATAAGGTACCATGGCCTCGAGCAGGAGAAGGAACGGGGAGGTTTTTAGTCAGTAAGAGTCTGACGCTTCCTCTCGCCTCGTTATGGGCCAGAGAAGACTTGATAATTTTCCCTTCATAAAATAGGGCAACAACACCAGTCAACTTTTAGGTGGTGGTAAAAATGGTGGGGAAAGAATAACGTGTTACGTATCCACAAAATAAGCAGGTTATTGCGACCATAGATTATGAGTTCTAGTTCTCTGGCAATTAAAACCTATACTAATGTACCTTTTTAGTGTATCAATAGGTCTATTGAACGCCTATCTAGAATGTAGTTTTAAAATACTGACCAATAATAACAGTATTTTATTACACCTATGTATATATTATATTGGTGATCTGTTTAACTCGTGTGTTTCTGTGAGTTAAAAATAATAATAATTTCTAAATCTTTTAATAATTTAACATAAATCAAACACTCTGTAGCTTCACGGCGACTCTCCTAAGAGGAGGTGACAGGATGCGTCGTCACGTCTCGCGACCCTCGCCGACACCTTTGTCTAACACCCTGTATATAAGGGGAGATTGTACCTACCTCTGGAACAGACAATATTATCTCAGGAAAAATACATTTTTATCTTTTCAATAGCTTTTGTATTGTTGACGAAAATCATTTGTGAATGTTTCCGCTCAATAGATTAGGAGTCAGGGATTTTAAAACATTCCTATTGTTATTTATCAAGATGGCATGGCTAAGACTGATGTATATATGTA